GATAGGCCCGAGGTTCTTAATCTCGGACGTACTGTAACAATCCCTTAACAGCCGAAGTGAGATTAATTCCAGTACTTCTGGTTAAATGACTACATGGTAAATATAGTGGACATGTCCGCACCTGATCTGTCACACAATTTCCCGGTCCCAAATTTGCTGCCGGTCTCAAATTTACCTCATCAAGGGACACGTCAGACTTTGATTATCCTGCTAAGTAAGCCATGTGGATATCTTACAAAGGCCTATAAATACCCCCAGGGGCCATGTCAAAAAGGTAATTGAAACCGACTTAAAACTTTTATTTAATTAGGTTATATCCCCGATTCAGTCCCTCAACTTTTATTTTTGAACTAAAATTATCCTCAAACTTCAAAAAGTACTAAAAAATCCTTGAACTTCAATTTTTGGGACCAATTTCGTCCTTCCGTCAGTTAAGTGCTGACATGGCAACATTTACCGTTAACAAATTCAATTTTTATTAATATTAAATATTACCTGGAAATCAAATGAGTGATGTGGCATTTTTAATTATAAAAATATTATGACTGGACACCAAAAATGTAATTTAATAAATAAAATTTTCTTTTCTTTTTTTTTTTTCTTTCCTTTCCTTTCTTTTTTTCCTTCGCTTTCCTTTTCTCCTTCCCCTCCCCTACTTGGTTCGAAGGAACCCAGCACCAACGCCTGGGTTCCTCGAACCCAGGCGCGGGTCGAGGCACCAGGCGTGCTGGGTTCGAGGAACCCAGGCCCTGGGTTCCATCGAACCTAGGCCCTGGGTTTGGCTCTGGCCACCGATGCTCCGGCTCCGACCCCGGCGGCTGGTGCTGGCTCGTTGTCGCCGTCATTTGTCTCGGCTGTCTTTGCCGTCGTCGTTGCTTTGCTTCTTGGCTCCTCGCTCCGGATCTGAGCTGAGATTGCTTGCTGGCGGTTGTATGCCATTCGCTGATTGTGGATTCATAGGTATCTTGTTGAGCGGTCTGTTTGTTTTCCATTTTATTACCATATTGATATAGTAGTAAATCTAGAGGCTTCACGAACGTTCCTCGAACCCAGGCGCTGGGTTCCGAACCCAGCGCCTGGGTTTGAGTCGAACCCGCCTGCGTTTTTTTGTTCTGTTTCTTTGTTGGCTTGCAGTCATGCTTGAATGGGATTTAGAGTTTTGTGTGGTTTCTGATTGCTTGAATTTCCAAATTTAGTTACTGTTGATGTTGATTGAAGGAATGTGGTGTTTTTTTCATTTTTCTTTGCAGATCTGGTATACATTTGTAAAGGAATTGATTTTTTGAATCAGATTTATTGAGTTCTATTAGGGAGGAGGTTTAAGGAAGAAGTAGATGGTGATTGGAGTGGTAATAGATGATCGGAGTAATGAGGGATGACCGGAGGGATAACCGGAGTAATGAGGGATGATCGGAGTAACGAGGGATGAGGAGCAATGAGGGATGACGTGGACTAGTTATTTTCCACGTAATTAAAGATTTCAAACAAGAATTGATTTTGTGGCAACTTAACCTGCCATCTGTCATTTCCGTCGACGAAAGGACGAAATTGGTCACAAAAATTGAAGTTTAAGGATTTTTTTAGTATTTTTTGAAGTTCGAGGGTAGTTTTAGTTCAAAAATGAAAGTTAAGGGACTGAATCGGGGATATAACCATTTAATTATTCTAAAAAAGTAGATTCGATTACTGCTAATTTAAGTATCAGAGTATCTACCCCGAGAACCCACCTTGGGGCTTTGTAGGTTCATCCGAAGTGAAGACTTGGACTGAAGAAGAGCTTCTGGTTTGGTGCAATTACAATTAGTCCTTTTATATAAAAAAAATTGATGTGTCTATTACTTAACTATGAAAAATAGTAATTTAATGACAAAAAATAATAACTTAACAATCATGTGTCATGTTAATAACAAGATATGTCAATTGGTTTTTGTATGAAAAGATCAATTTTGGGTAAATTGATAAACAGTAGAATCAAATCAAGAGCCTGTATAATAGTTTATGAACTAAATCAATTTTTTTTTTAATTTAAAGACCAAATAAAAAATCTATATAATAGTTTAGGGATCAAATAAAGACGATTTAACTTAAAAAGATGTCGAGCGGTGCAAAAGCGTTGAATTATTCCCACCTTAAATATAGTTAGACAAAAGTGCCTATTAGTTTATCTAAAAAAATTAAAAGAAAAATTATTTTAAAATTATGTTATTTTAATAAATTTTTATTAAAAAA